CATCTCCCCGGTTAGCCAGGACTGCTGGTAATATGTACACAGTTCTCTTTAAAAAGAAAACAGAAAGCAGGACTAAACCTTTAGATTTCAGACTGGCACTCAAGAACAGTATGAGAGCATAAGGAGAAGCCTCTGAAGGACCTTTTCTGTGACAAACCATACCATAATTATGTGCAACTTACTCATCTCTGATGGGAAGAGTGATGCGTATTGTGTTTGGGAACATCTCTAATCACTGCCAAAGAAGCTTCACATACTCATGCTGCAGCAGCCCTTTGCTTTAGTAAAGGTCACAATTTTGAAAATTGCACATCTACTGGCTAGTAAATCAGTTCTTCTTTCTTTATATAAAAGAAAGCAATGTGTGCTAATGGAGGGAGGCTTTCCAAGAATTCTGAGCCATGTTCAAAATGATAAATTTTAGGAATATCAAAAGTCTAACAGATAGGTTGCCAGCAATCATGTCTGTGTCAGGAATTTTGTATGTATCAGTTCAACTGGAAGTAGAATTGGATCACACAAGACATAAATGTGCTGATAACAGGGAAATGTAGAAATGAGATTCTGTTGCAACAGAAAGCTTGTTGCTATTCCTTATAGAATCATAGAATAGTTAGGGTTGGAAAGGACCTTAAGATCATCTAGTTCCAACCTCCCTGCCATGGGCAGGGACACCTCACACTCAACCATGTCACCCAAGACTCCAGCCAACCTGGCCTTGAACACCTCCAGGGATGGAGCATTTACCACTTCTTTGGGCAACCCATTCCAGTGCCTCACCAACCTCACAGCAAAGAACTTCTTCCTTAGATCTAATCTAAACTTCCCCTGTTGAAGTTTGAAGCCCTTACCCCTTGTCCTACCACTACAGTCCCTAATGAAGAGTCTCTCCCCAGCATCCTTATAGGCCCCCTTCAGATACTGGAAGGCTGCTATGAGGTCTCCATGCAGCCTTCTCTTTTCCAGGCTGAACAGCCCCAACTTTCTCAGCCTGTCTTCATACGGGAGGTGCTCCAGCCCCCTTATCATCCTTGTGGCCCTCCTCTGGACTTGCTCCAACAGCTCCATGTCCTTTTTATGTTAAGGACACCAGAACTTCCAGTAAACCAATCTGATTCTGATAATTCAAACAAATAATAACAAAAAGGAATAGTTAAACAGTATCATTATTTAAAGTGTGTTGCTGAAATAGTCCAAGGAGAAAAAAAAAGGCCAATGCTTTATTCTTTCAGAAGTTTCATAATGCTTTTTCTGTTGCTTTGCCTTCCATTGTTTCCTGGCTAAAAAAGAGCAACTCATAACTAATTGTAAACACAATTTTAATTGTTGAAATATAGTTGTTTCTCCTTTCATGGTTCCATATAAGCATTTTGTAGCAATTCTAAATATTAGTTGCTACCAGAAAAACCAGAAAGCCATGTGCAAAAGGTGTATCTTGTTATGGCACTATTCTACATAAAATAAAGTTGAAAATGAATTTGGGTGAATCTGTATTTTAACACCTATGAATACAGCAGAAAATGTAATAAAATGGATAGTAAGACACGATAGATACTTACCATTTGTATTTCTTCAGGTGACAGCTCATCTTCACCTTTTCCATCCCCCCATAATCCAAGGTTGCTTTGGGCATCAGGCAGATTCCTGTCTGTAAAAGGAGCACCAAACACTTGAGACAATTGCAGGACACTGAACTGTAAAGTGAAATTTTTCATCCATTTCAGAATACTGATGAAATTGTTTTCTCTCATTTGTGATTAACTGAGATTCACCCTGTGTTTAGAGCACAAAATTACACCAATAACCTTTAACTTCTCGACAGGGACAAAAGTCGATGCATATGTTTAATTTTGTGAACTACAAGGAGTTGCACTAAGACATTGACAGTGAAGGATGTAAAACAACTCACAGTGCACTAAGACTTGTTAGGACACGAAATACCACAGCATTTGTCTTTTAACAGGAGAAAACATAGAGTTTTCAAAATGACAGTCTGTATGCAAACTGTTATCTTCCAATGAGACTTGACCAAACCACCAGCCCCTCAGTCTAAGAAGTAAAAACAGAATCTCAGCAACATTTTGAGCAAAGTTCACAGGACAAGCTCCATTTCCTCATGCTGTTTAATCTACATATTACAGTGCAAATCCTGCTGCACGCTGTGCAAGGGGTCTTCCTGCATATAACAGGAATCGGATCTGATCCCACAAACTAACCCTTACACATCATAGCTGCTTCATTGATTTCAGTAGTACTTCCCTTTTGATTAAAGCTAATCATCTGAATAAATCTTAGCAGGAGTTGGGCATAAAAGATCTTGAAAGCTATTTCTGGAATATTCCCTTCTGGAAGATATATTTTTAGGCTTAATTATATACTTCTGATTATAGATGAAGAAGTTGGAATGGGAAAGAAAAGACGCTGTGCTGCAGGAGCCTACTGTTTCTGAAGCTGTTCTAGCCTCAGTGTTTAAAATCCTCATGATAAGACTGCACTCTTGAGAAGGCCTCTCCCCTCCTCACTGGCTGCGGCATTTTTACATACCCCAAGAGATATTTGCGTCACCCCACAATGGATCAAAGCTGAACTTGCTTTGACTTACCAGACGCAGGTTGCAAATTAAAACACAGAAAGATTTAGTTTTTACTTTTTCATAATTTCAGACTTCCTATTTATCCCAGCCCCTTTTTTCCAGGCATTTACAAATACTGTGATTTGTTTTGTTACAACCTTCTAAACCTATTTTTTTTTTCAATTGCATAAGCAGCACTAATGCATCACCATTCAGATAATGACTTGTCTTGGGAAGCCTCTGAAAGGAGAAGTCCTCTTCATAAACAAACACAAGAGAATGATTATAAAGAGACATTTTCTCCTTTATCCTCCACTATATTTGTGAAAACTCTCAAAACATAAATATTATGAGTATTGTTTATGTCTCCTTTATACATGTGTATTTTGCTTCCCCACAACCAAACCACGATGTGCAAACAATGACAAATGAGGGATGTGAATAAGGAATGTAGTAATAAACTAAAAAAACAAAACCCAACCCAACAAACTATGTTTTCCATGGGGTATCATCAGAAACACAAAACTTAACGTGTTTGGGTAATCAGTGTATTTACATTATATCAAAATCATAATGAATTATTTACTGGGTTCAAAGAAAAGAAGACAATTAGTTTATAAAGCCAAGAAAAAAAGACATATTCCTATTTAATCCCAGAGGAACCAATTACTTTCAGACACTGTCAGTGCTGTTAAAAAAACAGCACCTGTATCCAATATGATTGTTAATAAGCAAGTTACTTACGGTAAGAGCTAAGCGAGAAACATGTACCTCCCCAGGGTTCCTCCTGTCACTGAGGTACCTTTCTGGCTTTCTGCAGCTTTCGTGGAGCTGACATTAATGCTTTTATACAATTCACCCAGCAAAAGCTAAACTACATTTCTTTTGCAGAAGGAGAAGTAGTAACACATGACAGAGATACAAAGTCATGATCAAATTCTCTGGACCCTTCCCCACACTGAAAGGAGACAGCTGCTAAGCTTGTGGACCAGTTCAAAAGCTACTCATTATTTACATTTACTTCATAAACTAAATGTCAAATTTGCAATATGCAAATAAATACTGTCAGCATAGAAAAGCAATCTCCAGAGAGACTGTTTTGCTACCATGAGGCACATCCAGTATAATTCTAATGTAAATGGGTGCTTTGCCTCAAAACGAAAGTAATCACATTTTGCTTTGGTTTCTGCCAAAAACCCAGACAAAACCCAAGTTGTGCTTCAGCACACCACGTAGGACATTCAGCTGTTCATCATAATGTTGCTTCAGCACACCAAGTAGGACATTCAGCTGTTCATCATAATGTTCACCTTAAGGACAGGACCACAAGCTGCTCTCTGAACCATCTTTACAGCTGAGATACTGAATGCAAGGGACCCAGGCACGATGATGATGGCTAATTCATAAATAGAAATGATCACCATTCTCTAAACCACCCACATCCTGAGGATGAAATAGTTTATTTCTAAAAGTGATAATTTCTCCAGTTGCTTTGAAATTCAAAAAGTTACCTGGGGCAGAGGGAAAGGCTGTAAGATTTAAACTGAGCTGCTTGCTTCCTAGTCCTCTTGTTCATGCTGTTTCCATTCTTAGCCAACCACCTACCAGTTAAGTCACGAGGCTCACTTCTATAAGCAGCAGCAACCAACACTTATCCTTATGTGAGGAATCAGAGGCCATGTGCATTTACAAACTGTTTTAGATTTATTTTGATATACAAGTTTCCAAAGACTAGTCAGCAATCCTTCCTAAGCACTGCCTCAGCACGACTTATGTGGCAGGACCCTCCTTTCTTATAACAAAATTAAAGCATAAACTAGTAAGAGACAATTGGACTAATCAAAATTAACGTGCAACAAACAAAGCCTCATTTCTGCTTATTGCAGTGGTTTGCTGTGTCCAAGGCAACCAAAGAAGAGCGTTTTCCACACTATGGCACAGATTTTTGGAGCTAAAAATGGTACAGACGCTGTGGTGGGAGTGCACACTTCCTGAGGTTGTGGAGACACTCAGTACCAAGGGAAGAGCACAGGGCAAGGAAGATGCTACTACAGTGCCGTGTCTCTGCTGGTGCTAGGGCACAGCTGTGGAACACTGATAACGTGTGAAGGTGAAACTCAGCTGTGTGCTGCATCACTTAAGATACAGCATAAAAATGCTATAAGTACTAGAAACAGCCCATAATCAAAACCTTTACTTACAATAAATTGAGTGTCTGGCGGGGGGGGGTAGGCTGGGGTGAAGCATACTGATAGGGCTGCAGAAGTACAAACTGGTTTAGGAAGATAAGCAATGCCATATCAGAAAATGAAACCACTTGCACACCGTGAGGTAATTCAGTATTAGAGACTTCATCCAGAAATGGAGTACCCACTTCACATGAATCCATCCTTTGTAGGGCCCTCAAATCACCAACCAGAGGAACTTTACCCTTTTAATAAAAATCACTCAAGATACAATAACTGATTATCAGAATAACGTGGCCATCCACTGCATTGCTTCTATCTTGATGAAGTACTTTCCTAATTTAATATCACATTTCATACAGTTTCTGTTTCTCTCAAAAAGATATTTCATGCTGTAGATCACTGTGTACCTTGGACTCCTCTAGACAGCAAAAGCAGGAGAACTCAAGCCAGGGAAAGCAACTCCGGAATCACAGAAACAAGGCTTCTCTTTAGGTATGAAACCTGAAATTATCTGCATAGTGATGATACTCCAAAAGGCACTCTGCAACTAAGTTCTGCCAGCGTACACATCCCAGGACAGACCAAAACAGCTAAGAGAAGGGACTTTTATCCCCCAGCCTCAGAAGCAGGCCATAAAGGAATCAGAATCAATGTTCTGTCAAGAACAGCACTAGCTGAAATGACCCTGGGGTAGGAGAGACTGCCTGGGACTTCTAGCTATCTCCTGCCCACTGAAAGATGAGCTGCAATCCTTCCAGCAAGGAAACTCAATGCTGTGGAGAACATCCGGATCTGGCCAGCCAGTAACCTCCCCTCTTATAAGCATATTCTACCTTTGAGTTTCTGCTGTAGAAGTGTCCAGCTCAAGGTCTCTGTGCTTGAAAACTAGAAAATGTTTCCAGGAAGTCACTGAGCTACTTTCCAATTCCTTGCCATCAGTGAAAAGAATGTGGAAATATCAGACAGACCTCAGAAGACATGTAAGTAGATGGATATTGATAAAAATAACTAAAAAGGGAAGAGTTTATACAGAGTTTGAGGGGATGAAGGATCCACCAAGGCATAAGATGATTTTAGCTATTTGGAAAAGCATGTCAAAAGTTTAAGATTTTGCTTCCACAGTGTCACAATGGGCTTCACAAAAGCCTGATCGACTCAGAGAAGATGAAAATAGGAAACTGTGTCACAGAAACAGAACCTTGTAATGTGAAGGAGGTACTATTGACCAAGATAGGCCTTCCAGGAAAAGTAAACTATAACTAGGCTTATTCTTACCTTTGCTTTCCTCAGCAGAAAGTTTTTCTTCCGAATCATCTAAAGGATTCTGTGAAGATTTTTCAGGGGAAAGAGGTGATTTGGACACACTGCTCGGCTCAGGTTCAAGCCTAGACCTGGAAGCACAAGAACCTGTAATTTAACTGGTATTACACAGCAGAATTTCTCTAAAATGAGAACCACCACAGATTATTAAATTCAACACTTTAACTGTTTAACTGTTGCAAACTTCATGTTAAGTATTAGCAACTTTCACAGCACTATTATTGCAAGTAATACTTTCAATTTTACTTTATATTGTTAACTATCACTGAAGGAAAAGTAAGAAAATAAAACAGAATTAGCTTTTCCCTGAAACAACTATTCTTATTTAACCAGCTTTAAAGAATAGTTTAACCAGGAGGAGAGTTATCCTTTTCTTGTCTGCTGAAAGACACAATGGACTATTTATAAGCAAAGAAAAGTGGATTACATATACTATATGCTACATCTAAGTCCCTGCTATGTAATTTTAATACAAAGGCAATGCAAAAAGTAAGAAGAATATTCAGTGATTCTATATTAAGTGCTTGTCAAGTATGTTTCACTGTGGCACCAAAAAAGCTTTAAATTAGCAGCAACATTTTTTTCCAGTAAACTTCTGTGGTTTACTGTGGTCTGCAATGAATTCTGTAACTGCCACACAGTAGACTGTTAAAATGCTTAGCAATTACGCTGTTAGAGAAGCTAAAGAACAAAAAACCAAAAAGTAATGGGGCTGAATCACCTTCTGTGCCACTTTCATCACTTCCTCCCCTCTCAAACACAATCAACAGTTAATCTCACTGATCTGCAATCCTTCCCTGCTGCTTAACTGGAGGTGTTGCATTTTGCGTTCCTCTCTTTTGTATTGTGTCTAAATTCTAACCCATAATTAGAAAATCCTCAGAAAACCAGAATAAATGCATTAGTCATCACCGAGTGACTACGTTATTTAAACAAGAAAAAAAAAAAAGTAACTGGGAACCTTTCTGAGTTCTAAAAACTCTGCAAGTACTGGGCTTTTAGTGATTTTATGTAAAGAGAACTCTTCTCTCATCTCCTCCCTCTCAAGTTCCAAATTTGCCTAATAATGGGGAAAAAAAGACTTATCTGGATGTCCGTGAGTTCAAATAATAGTTTGGATACTAACAAAACACCAGTTCCCCATATAATAAAAATATCAGCTTGATTTGAATAATTGCATACATAATTCACAAGATATTCTAATGGAAAAAGAAGTTTCAAATTGAAACGAGATATGCATTTGAATACCAATAAACACGAAGAGTGAAAACCAAGGACCTGCACAGAAAGAGCTGCTTGTGTTTCTATTTTTCAATTTTTCATTCTAGGGAACTAGTCCTTTGTAACTGGCAGAACTTTTTAATCAAAAAATATGAGCTAATACATAAAGGCAACTTATGTAAGAAAATTGTAACACTCAGGCAATTTGCTGAAGAGCTTAGGAGGGTTATCAGTATAAAAGGAAACATGATGAAGTAGATTTCTACTGCAAACCTTTCAGTATTGTCTTGATACATATTTTGACTAATTTGCAGGAGAAAAAAGGATCTGCACTAGGATTAATTTACTTTTAAAGAAATGCATTCCTTTCTTCTTTCTTGTCCTTACTTTGCACAGTATGCTAACGTACAAAGTTTTCAATTAAAAATGGACAAAATGCCTGGGATACACTACTTAAAGAACGCCTAAGGTTTTTAAGTGATGGAACATGTTCTTATTATCACATTAGTGTCTGCAGAAATCCTTGGGGAAATTACAAATGAACTAGTTGAAGGCATATGAAAAGAAAGACGTTTTTTCTTCAAGTCATCATAAAGATTGGTTTATGCCTGTAATTTATTTAAATTGAATTTTAATTTAAATGACAATTTAGCCATTACATCACATCTGCAATGATACAGACTCCACCTGGTCGACATCTCTTTTCTACCTCTTAGATTCATAAAGAGAGGCAAAGAGGTATCCTCCAATATTACATAAAAGGACTGCATCTTCTGGGTTGTTTTTTAATGCCTTATTGCTCTTCATTTAACTAGTGTTCTAACTTCTGAAATAGCTCTTTCATTGCTCCAGGTTTAGCATACATCAAATTGAGTTGTTTTCTCTGTTTAGTCATTTGAGAAATCTTGGACCTGGTATTTCACATAGAAATAGTAATGTAAGAGTGTAACAAACAGTTGGCATTTGTTAGCCAAATCTGTACCTAGAGGCACTATGCTATCTTTCTTTGAAGTTCTTTAGTGTGAAGAATACTGATAAGGTTATGTATTTTTTACACACAAAAAATATCACACAGTTTGTTTCTGTATGTTTTTTCTGAGAAGTTATGGGGGTTACAAAAATACCAATGCCTGCCTTTTCTCTCTTAGCAAATTTCAGAACTGGTTTGGGGTAGTTTGCGTATTTGGTTTTGGCTTGTGCTACTATTTACATCCCAGGAGAAGATATTTGAGTGAATCTAATTGTGCTGAATCACTTTGAAAAAGATGTACTTACGGACTTCTGAAAACATCTCTCTAGTTTCAATGTAAATAGCTGATCGAGCCAAACACCAAACTGATAAGCAGCATAAAATCTTGGAAAAAACACTCAAGAACTTATTTATTGATGTGTATGTTCTGGAACGTGTTGTTTTTAAATTGAAATTTACATAATGGAATGTAAGGTTAGAATTCAAACAATGCTGGTTGAGAAGACATAGAAAGCTTTTCAGGTATTAAATTGCAAACCTTAGCATTCTTACACCTGGAAGTGTGCAGAAAAAGCAATTAAGTAGTACGGGGTTTGATACTTGACTGAAAAACACACAAAACCAAGTAAAAAAAAAAAAAAAAAAGACCAGAAAGCCAGCACATCATCTTTAACTTCTCCCAGACATTTTCACCTCTAAAATAGCAGCCTGAATATATGCCACAACAGGAAGCAGAAAATATTTGGTTTCAGCTACAAGGTATATTAAAGTTTCTACTTGTCATGAAGACCTGCCATGTCAAGTAGCATTTATCCACGACATAGTCACTTGCTTTAGCAGAAAGACAGTGGCTTAGAAGAAAACATAACAGAGAAGTAAAGATGTCTTATACCCAAACAGATAGTATCTTAAGTAGCATCTTTGAGACATATTAGCAATGTGCAGTATTTCGTTCTAAATTATTTTGACAGTATATTACTTAACGGGACACAGGAAAATGTTTTGTTGCGTTTGCAGATGTTCAACAGGTTTATAAACCTACATTTTACTGGTTTGGTGCTTTTAACATTTACATAAATGAGTAGCACAACACTGTATTGGAACTCTGACACTTACAAATATAACTTCACATGCCAGAAGTGTAAATATACTGGATATACCTGCTGAGAGCAGAAGTTGCTCATGCAGCTACAGATTTCCATTAGAACAACCTCCTTAGAATCTAAACATGAGTAATAGTTTTGTTGAATGTCCTACAAACTAAAGGCACAGTTAAACTATTTTTTGACACTACTCACAGTCTCTTCTTATCTATCACTCGCTTAACTCGGATGGCTCTTTGTTCAGAATACAGCTTACACACTCCTGTTCAAGATAGCAGGAAACAAAATTTCATGTTAGAAGAGCATGATTTCTTTCTTGGAAAATATAATCATCCATTTTTAACCCTTCAATAAATACTTTTTAAGTACTTTTTAAGTAGTCTTCAATGAAGTCCAAGACAGCTGTTCTGTGCTCCTTTACCTGAGCAGACTGGACACCCTTGTGTGCTGAAATACAAGAGAAAGATACAATCTTTTAACCTTTTACTGAAATGCACAAAAGTTTGCCTTTACAGTTGATACACAAGTTATATATTCAAAAGCCTATTAACATTTCATATGTATCTTAGTATTTATTTTAAACATAGCATATTTAAATATAGGTTCTGTGAAACAGCAAATCATTACAATAAACAAAGCTGAAAACAACTAGTGTATTACAATATTTATGTTATTGGTTTGTTATATATGCCACTGAGTCATATTATGTCAATTAGATTTCTAAACAAGTATAGATGTCACCAAGCTAAGCACAGCAAAACAGATCTAGAGATTTAACTTGCTTATAACATTGAACTTCGAACATTTTAAATTCTCTAGTGTACAGATTACGCGGAAATCTTTAGGGTTTATTGTGTCAAGCATCCTTTTAGTTCACATACATGACTATTTCATATTTTGATGCTATGTAGTTCCCAAGCATGACTGACTTTCAGTGATTCTGAATAATGCTATAACTATGTTTCAACGGCATTTCAAAGCTGATGAAAATCTTTGGTATATTGATAAAGCACACACATACAGCAAGTCAACTTGAAAATGGCAAAACAGTTCTCTCTACAGATTTCATGAGACGGTGTTGTAAAGGTGTGATCCCACATTCAGGTTGTAAAAAAATGATGTTACTTTACCAGGACTCTGTTAAAGTTATTTAATTATCCCAAATTTGGAAAGATTATACTTGTAATACCTTACAGATGGACAAGCTAGAAAGAGACAACCATTGAATTTAGTGAGCTTTGGTTCAGGCCTCTGTGCTGCAGTGCTAAATTACTATTCAAGTACTAAATATTTAAGACTATCTTTTTTCCACTTGCTAATAAGTGTATTTAAACAAATAAATAGATTTCTATGCTCTGCCTTCTCTTCCACTAACAAGAAAATTAAGTATACTACTAATCAGGGAATGGGATTACACAGATGCAAACAAAAAGGCAATGAGACTTCACGAATCTCTTTTGAGAAGCATTTCAGATTCACCATGCAATATTCAGCATTGTATCAGCCTTTATCAATAACTAAGGGGAAAAGAAGTATTTAAGAGTTGCTCAATTTACCTTCCGTTCTCAGCTGATGAATGGCATCGGCACACGTCCTCATAAATACCTGAGCATCTTGATCTATCTGATCACGCTCTGTATCTGTCATCCTCACATACTCAGACATAATATGGCTGAGAAAGAAGACAAACTGTCACATAAGATATCCCCAACTTAAAATCTACAAATACACATCTTACACCTTCTTCCCATTTGCTATCCCCACAAAAGCTTTTCTGCAACATTGATTTTCAGGGAAAAAGAAGTACAATAACCATTCCTGATAAAAATGCCACTTCTATAAAGCTGAGAGGGTTTTTTAACACATTTTTGACTAGTAACAGATGTAAAAAGAGCAATATATCCTATCAAGTCATACACAACCAAATACAGATAGGGAGAAGATATAACTACAAAATATATCATTACCCTTAGTAGTTATTCCAATTATTTTACTTTCATTATCCTAAATACTGAGTTTCACTTTTAAAGGAGCTGTACTCTGAAATATGTGAATTTAAACCAGAGTAAAGAACACCACTGGAAAATAATGCATTGGAAAATGCACTTGAAAATTATTTTTAATATCAAGTCGATTATAAGATTTATTAAAACCTGTTCCCATTGCTTATTTCTATTTTAGATGATTCATTATGTATTTAGTATTTTCTAATACGATTCATATATCTTTTTGTTACTAAATGAATAAGAACGGAGGCTGAACATGTAGCACATGGTTCATCTGGCTTGAAAATTAGTTTCTGCTTGCTGGCCAGCTAGTACACAAGCACCCATTAGCCAGCAAGCAGTAACACAAACTCATTGGAAGTAATATTATAATACTTAATAAACTTGTTTGTTTCCAACACTGCCATGTCTTTGACATCTAAATACCATGGCTTTCCCTCCCCACTCTCCCCCCCAGTTAAAACTATTCTAAATGTTATAAAACTGTATTTTAGAACTTACAGAAAACATACAGAAACATATATAGTGTTTCCATGTATATTTTACTGGCTGAATTGCTCTCCTTTGGTCAGGATAGATTGGTTTCATAAATTTGTGGCAAAATCCCCATCACAGTTGTAATCAGTGGGTTTTTAAGCTTTAACTCTAATTTGCACTCTCTTGAGAAAGCAGCTTCTGAATGATGAAAGATTTGAAATTGTCTGATTTTAGAGACATTTGATGGAGAGGCTTTCCACAGCCTGGTTAAGATGATATATTGATAGTTACATATGCAATGTAAGATAACTCATAGTGTTAAATATGAGGACACACCTCTCCCCCACTCCCTTTGCACAGCTTATATAAATGGGTCTTTTTACTACTACTCTGTGGCATAGCAAGTTCTTAGTATGTGTAAAGCCAGAAATTCCATTTCTACATCCACATTTGCACAGGCCCAGACAGAAGGGGACCATTATGATCATCGGGGATGGGTTCATGCATAACATTGTTCAGCAAGCCCTGCCTAGAGAGTTACTCAAGCATGTTAAGGCACATAAATTCAGATGGAAAATGAGGATGGAGTAACAGCCTCATGATGGCCCCCTGATGAAGCAAAAAAATCTTCACTCTTCTATTCAGATTACAATAGCAAAAGTTCTGGCTGGTCTGCTACTGAACAGATACACAGTTCTTGTCTTTATACATCCAGGTTCCTGTAGCCTGCCCAGCTTTGTGGCATTTGCAGAGTTCTGTGTTTTCCATGCACTTTTTAACACTACAGGGTAAAATAAACATTACAAAATACAAACCAGAATTTTCTTTTAAATCAGACTTAGAAATATGTATGAAAAACTTGCCTCAGGCATGCTTTATTTTTTACTAACAGTGTAACTAGTAGTAATACAGTGATACACTGACAACAACTGCAACAACTTTAACATTGGGAAACAAGTTGTTCAGTTTTCATAGTTGCTAATACAAAAATATGGTAGATTAGATTCTTAAATAGGAGCTTCACAGCTTCAAATGTAGCAAAATACTGCTTAATTTAGGTAACAAGAAATAGAATACTTAACTTTTTAACTATTTACAGCTTGTATAGTGTCTGATACCAACACTTTCAAGTAAGAGCTGCTCAAGTCACTCAGAGGCAAGACTACCTGAAACCCAACCTCTTTGGCAAGGCAAAAAGGGAGTCATACAATCACATCCCATTCTGTCAAAACACATATGGCATCCACTAGTACTAACAGAGTCCTGAAATCCCCACTGCACTCCTCACTAAATCTGCACATGGAGACTACTGAAAATCCATTTATTCACCGTCCTCTAGCCTTTCCATAAATAGAACCATCCATTTTAAAAGAAAGGGCCAAGACAAAACACAAACACACAAAAAATGAACAAAACCCAACTGAAGAACAAAAAAAAAGCAGCCATCCCCTGTATGTCAGAGATACAAACACTTGTTCAGAAGGCCAGTGGCAGTATCATAGCAATGGACTGACACACCACTAAACCAAGAAAGGTCAAACAACCAGGTTTTTCAGAAGCAGTCAGAAGAATTAGCCAAGACATGCACTGGCTAATGCATGCAGATAAGGGAAGAAGGGGAAAAAGAGATTCTTCCAGATTTTCATCCTAATCAATAAGAGAAAGCTTAATGAGAAATTGGGCTGGAAGCCAACTTGGGTTATTTGTGATTTCCAAGAAGGTGGGTGAATCATAAGATAAAGACAGTGGCTATCAAGTAGGCAGTCTTCAATAGTCTAGAAAAATTAGGAGGTTAAACTGCATAGAAAAGGGAAACCTAAAAAAGAACAGAAAAATAATTCATGTGAACTAGTAGTTTCCATGTAGAAATTGCTTTACGATAATTTGCAGTTCTGCCTTTGATGAAAAGGAAGAATAGGCAATGCACTAAGAGATCAGCTTAGCTACTTCATGAGCTCTTTATTGAGCTCAAACACAAGAAGCAGAAGAAAGAAAGTGCAAATTAGGTCTGATTGCTACTGACAAGTCTAAAGGAACACAGCATGTAGGGACTCAATCAGAAAAGGGTCGAGTGCTGGATGAGACGCACCTGGCAAGGGAAGCCAATGATAACAAGAGACTGCTCTGCAATATTACTTAGAGAAACAACTAAGAATGTGGTGTTGGCTTGTTAGCTCAGTAGAGAAACAAAATTATACACAGAATATGAATAAATTCTAGATGTTTATTGCTTTTTTTTTGCATTAACTTTCATCACTAAAGTCATTTGTAAGCTGCGGTTACTATTCCCTTTAGTTTACTGCTTCTAAATCATCTGGCCTCAATTTAGTACCTCCATCATTATTAAAAAAAAAAAAAAACCCAACATAATTATTTGTTGATATTTTCAACACTAATAACAAGTGTCAGACAATAAATGAATAACAGGATCCTGAGTGAATGAGTGTATAAGAATGAGTGCTATGCAAGCCAGGTCATGGCACAAGCGGACCTTGAAGGGCCAGTGCTTCCTAGGATAATGGTGAAGGTAAACTTGATGAAGTACATATCCCTCCTACCTGGCTTCCAAAAAAAGCCCAGGGTGTATGCACGTCCATAGAGTGTGCAGAGACAGGAGCCCAGGCCTTGGAATAAAATAGGAAATGCATCAAATGGAAGGATGCATCCCCACTGCCAAGAACTGGGGGATGCTAAGTGAGTGTTTAGGTTGATGAAAAGATGAAGTGTAGCAACTATCTTTAAAAAATAGGGTTAAGGGAGAAACAACCAAACAAACCAGAGGATTATAGACCACTCAGCCCAGGAAAATACAGGCACAAATAATCAAACAATTTTTAAGTGCTTAGGAAAGAACAAAAAGATAACCAGTAGCCAAGATATATCAAGAATAAGACATATGCAATGTAATTTACTTCTGGGATGCAGTAACAGGTCTTACGGTTGGCTGAAGAGCAATTACTGCTATACATCTTCTCTTTAGTGTGGCTTTTGTTACCATCTCTCATGACATTCTCATAAGCTACCAGTGAATAAATGAATTAGAAGAAATAAGCATCATATAGATGTGAAACTCTTTGAAAAGCTGAACTTGGAGTAGTCATATACCCAAAGAAAAGGGGACACTGAGTTATGTTCCACACGGGTTTGTCCTGAATCTTATGCTATTTAATACCCTCACATTAACAACTCAGACAGTAGAATATACACTTATTAAATTTGCAGAGGCATAAAGCTAAGCAAATTAAAACTGTATCAAGAGATCAAGACTTCAATTCAAAACAACACTGCCAAGTTGGAGAAATGACATGAAGAATTTGAATAAGGAACGGTCAGAGGCTCTTGTTGCAGCAGGAACAATTATCTGAACCCACAGAGAATGGGGAACAACTGATTAGTGAACAGTTCTTTAGAGAATCATCTGGGATCATACTGGATCATACACCAAACATTACAACAATGTTGTTGCATAAATAGTCATTACAATGGGATGCATAAATGCAGTATAATCCATTCTCTGGGCAAGGCCTCAGTTTTGTTTCATTTCAGCACCTCACTGCAACACCAACTGGAAGAGCATCCAAAGGAGAGGAAAAAGTACAATCAAAGGACAAAACCCCAAATATGCTGTAATTGTTGATTCTAGAAGAGACTGAGGAGAAACCAAAATAAACTAGCACAGAAAAGAAAACAGGAGAAGGCAGAGAGACAATACAAAATCTCCACTGAAAGAAATCTTTAAAAGTAATCAAAGCATGGTGGTGGAATGACCTAATCATTCTCTTTTTGAATGTGTCAGCCGTGCTCCTTCCAGCCCATCATTTCTATGATCCTGTTTTGCTGGCAAAGCATGAGGAACCAGAGCTGATGGAGGCATTACACCAGTTTTTGGAAGTAGTAACTATTTCTGCTGGTGCATAAAATATTTTCTGCTTACTGATTCAATAAAGACACCAAATCAAGCAGAAAAACTTGATTTTCCTCCAACAATGTATTACAAAAGAGAGAGAAGCAATAAGCTGAAGTAAACCAGTTATAAAATACTGATATGTGCTGTTTGAGCAGAGATATGCTCAACTTACCACCTGCAGATACTGTCTTACAAATATATACATAAGTGTTCCCACACACACACTTAACTCTGTAGGTATATGCACATATGTACATGTATGTATAACCTTAGCTTTCTGGACTCAATTTAGGTGTTTCAGTTAAATATTTAAAGTTTGATCAACTGGGTCAGGGCCTTCTTTCAGTTGTCTTTCTCATTGCTAAAAATCTTCCTCTAAAATGAATTAATTAAAGACATACCTCCTGTAGCAAGATGTTTTATGTATGCCAAAAATAAAAATTCTGTTATTAAAGAGTTTATAGTCTGCAAAATTAAGGTCAAAGCAGCAATCAGGAGCCTGGATGTAACACATTATGAAGAAGTTTTAAAACGCATACACTCTTAACTCAAAAGCTGAAATCCATCAACACATTGTGCTATAGTTGGAAAAACAAATAGCAGGATTGACAAAATACAGGAGTCAACTTTCATGAACAAATTTAAACTTCCTACATAAATTTCAGAAGAGCCTTTCAGTATTATTAGCATTTGCTAAGACTGCAAGACTGACAGCATGGATGCTATGATCCTCTTTGCATCCAGAAAGTGGAACAGCATAAGCCATCTAGTATGGAATTTGAGAGTTCTATCTGGTTTAAGTTTGACCATTACAGACAGGATCAACTGCAATGACAGATGAGACCTGGAGGATTATTTTATTGTTTAAGAAAGGAAATGACACTTTTTTCCTCTTCTTAGTTAATACCTGAGGGGGGTGGGGGGGTGGGTGTGCACGCAAAAATCACTACGAATTACCACAATAACTGGTTAAAAAACAGTTTACAAGAACATTAAGAACTTTTAGAAACCAGAAACTTTGGACAAACTTTGACTCCTCTTATCGCTTCAATTTTATGCACACTACTGTTAATAAAATGCAAATAGCATCCCAAAATTAACTAGTACTGACTGTTCTTACTGTAATTATTTGCTGTTTCTCAGCCTATGCATTCACATGAAGTTTTCATCCAGTAAACACAGTTATTTCAGTCCTAAATTGGTAGCTCCACCTAGTGTTGTTCATGACCTATTCCAACAGGAACTGAATAGCAGAGAGCTAGTCAAAAGACTACTTCTGCTTGCTGCTTGGAAAAGCAGTTCCTCATACACCTTGCACACAGAATTGACACCTACCCCGAGCTTCATTTTCACTGGCACTATGAATAGCTCTCATGGCCTTACACTTATAAATGTGCCAAATTTTGGGGGTTTTGTGTGAAACAACAAAATACTGCTTTTAACTTCCTCAGGGAGACAAAAGAAAGTGCCAGAAGTCTTCTGTCAACTTACTCTGGGACACATTTTGATCCCACTGATTGTATAGTATTGCTATTACTGTGACAGACCTTTTCAGGCCTAGAAGTTGCTTCTCGGAAAGACTGTTCCTGCAATATAGACCAAGCTTAAGGAATAGCAGCAGATGGATCTGTTCCTATTGTCTTCGCCTGGGGTATGGATATCTGTCTGGATAATGCTCCTACTATTTGGTACCTGTGAAGCCTTTTGAAGAAAGGTATTAAACTGACTTGGGACTTCAGTGTCTTTAACCCAAGATGACTTCAGACTGCATTTTCTCTGCCTTGACTGCTTAGCTTTAGTCAGGGTTGTGGCAGAATGAAAATGCAGACAGGGCTGACTCCCCCATGGAATCCTGCAGTTACATTGAGGGACTGGAGAAATGCAACACATGAAACTGTGAGGTTTCAGAAGATCCTTTAAGAGGTAAAGCTTACTTACGCTGTCTCATTTAGATATAAGTTTTGAATTTTTCCTAATGGCTGAAAAGAACTAAAACTTTCTCTATAGAATAATAACTACCAGAACTGAAGCCTACTGTTTTGTTTCAGAAAAGCTGTCCCCTGACATGATGCTCTCAATTATGTCCCTCATCTGGAATTCACATTCCAGAGTACAAAGAGACCTCCTCCAGGTCCTGCTGATGCTACTGACTGTATCCTTAGTGATAACAAGTAGGTTTAATGTCACAGAGTGAAAGGGAAAACCTGGATCACTGTATCTAGTATTCTGCTGTTTCAGGAACCACTTCAGAAACCTACTCTGCAGGCCCTTAAAAGGTGTCAGACTCAGACTGCCGGGTTGTTTTGTTTCAGAACTCACGCCTGCAAGCCAGAAATCTTCAAATTCTGAGTCTCATTTTATTTAAGAAGAAAATGGTGCTTTGACAGCACTATTCTTCATCGTTAAGTAGCTTACAGTAAGCCAATTAATAAGCAATCTAGTTTTGGTTTTAATCATTACGTCTATAGATCCGTAAGCACTTCACTTTATAAACCAGAAAATAAATAGACCTATTGAAACAGAATGCACACTTACCTGTAAGCATTAATGTAATCCTTTCTGTGCTGCAGAAGAAAATCTTTCAGCTTTCCAATATGAGAAATCTAAATGAACAGAAATCATAAACTTCAGTCAGATCACTGATAAAAGGGGTAATGGGTTCAAACTTAAAACAGGGGAAGTTTAGATTAGATATAAGGAAGCAGTTCTTCACTGTGAGGGTGGTGAGGCACTGGAATGGGCTGCCAAAGGAATTTGTGAATGCTCCAACCCTGGTAGTGTTCAAGGCCAAGTTGGACAGAGCCTTCGGTGACATGGTCTGGGGTGAGGTGTTCCTCATGGCAGGGGGGTTGGAACTAGATGATCTTAAGGTCCTTTCCAACCCTAACTATTCTATGATTCCTTTTATGTTTAAAGTTCAGTATTCCACACTTCAGACATAATTTTCTGACATTATTTATTCTATAATTAAATAGAACCATAAAATTTACTCTTACAACTTCCATTTTGCAAGCAGTCAATAGGCAAAAATCAACTAAGAAAGATCTGTCGTATGAAAGTACAACTCAGAGAAAAGGAATAAAAATACATCTTCTACTCAAAAAGCATAAACAAAACACTAAACACCACTGAACACTAAATAAAACTACAATATTAAACATGATAATAATAAGACAAAACATTGTCTAAACTGGCAATCCGGAACCTAATTCACAAAGCATATATCCCTATCAAATTTCTATTTGTGGATTTCCACGTCACTGTGGATACATTTCACTATAACTCCACTCAATTTTCTTTACTAAAAGTCTTTACAAAGATCCTCTGAAAAGATGAAAAAACTCCTAAAAATCAGAAAGAACTTTTGCAAACTTTAGTCTGATTTAATCTATTTGGTGCAGCGTAAGATGCTGCTTATTTTAGAGACTGGAGAAACTACAGAAATCTAGTTTAACTGGCTAAAGAAATGTGATGACTACCAGTGTGACTTCCTTGGCAGACACGATGGGGGGTGTAGGAGGAGAATTATATATATTAGTGGTATATATTTTCAAGGGGGAGGCAGGGGGAGACTTCCTAAAGCATATTCTCAAATATTCATTAATAATTCAGTGTAAAAAAGCATGCAAGGAATTTTACAAAACAATACTTGTTTTAGTTTACAAATACAATAAATGCAGCTTACTCCATGTATCTGGGAAAAGGCATCAGAAGCTGTTCAAGCCTTAAAATCCCATTTTCATGCAAATGTTCCTTGTAATTAAACAAACAAAAAAACCCACAGAGAAAGAACACAGAACAGTTTGGATAAATAGAAGATTAATTCCCCCAATTATTTTTTTCAAAAGGTCTCTTTGAAAGAAGTAAAAGGAAAAAAAATGTGCTCAATAAGACCGCAGTGATTTTACAACTAAAAGTGTTTCCTTGTGCAAATAAATACATATACATTTCCCTTTATTAGCTCTGCTTCATTTTTACTACAACTCATCGTATTGAATAAGAAATCTCACCCAACTCATGGCAAGCTGAGTTCTGTTAGTACCTCCAGTAGATCCACGGTTTCCTAAACTGCATTAGCACCAACATACACAGTAAGAAGGGAAATACTGAAATTACTACAAGACAATGAGGCACAAAAAGTAAGCTCAACCATTCTACAGATGTTCCTTCTAACTGCCACTGGAGCTTCATTTTTCTGCATTCATCTCTTTTTCAGCTCAGACTTGGTATGTCATGAAATTTGCTGAATAAATTGAACTTGACTATGAAACCAGAACATTTAAATCAGTCATACAGTGTTTCACTAGAACAATACTTCATATGGAGAAAGAAAGTACTACAGAGGACAAAAAGGAGAAATGTAAAATAAGAAACACATTTCCAAACATTTCCATCAATATGTGAACAATCACTAAACTAGAAAATAGGTTCACAAAAATTTATAAGTAATAAATCTCAATGTTACTGCAATAGCTACAATTTAGGAGTGATTAACAAGCAGAAAGAATCAGAATGACAAGCAAGAACACTGTCTTACAGTAATTAATTCATCTAGTCACAAAGAGCATTCTATTTAGGCTAAAATTGTCATCCTGTGTTTGAATTGCTCTGACCCCACTTTGCCTCTCCTTCATTTGTAAAGCTATTTTCATGAATTTAGAATGACACCATTATGCCCATACTCACATCAAGCTCTTAGGTCCCAAGATTTGCATCAGAAGTGAGACTTCTTGTTCTACTTTCCCTCAATTCTAACAGCACCTTCTGCAGTCCTGCGCTGCTGCCATTTCTCTGTTGCCTTTTCTTACCATGTACTACTGGCACAGTTTTGAATGCAATTTGTCATTAACATATCAACAGAATTAAACAATTTTTATGAAAGAGAAGGTCTCACTAGCATGAAAGGAAATGCCAATTTCATTTTAAAATAAAATATTAAAAAAATGGAGGTCAGGTATGATGTTTAATCTGCAGACACAAAATATCCTTCATTATACAAATATAAATCTTGATGACATCTCCAGAGTCATCAACCTGCAAGTATTCTGGGGTTATCAGAGGCATACCATGCACTCTTTACAAAGTAATCATGCTCCAGCCTAAAGGTCATAAAAGCATCTCCCTATTCCAACTGAATGGCTTTATTAGAATCCTACTGCTCTTATTATGAATAAGAACCATCAAATTTCCAAGTTTACTGATTACCAACTTCTGTCCACCTGTTCTTGCTTCAAAACAGCCCTTTCCTTTAAAAGAACTGCTTGCCTGCATGCGTGTTGGAGTTTACCATCAGTAATCCTACCTGCCTCTAACTTCTGTAGCCTCAGACAAATTGCTCCAACCTTTTAGTTTCTTCTCACAAAATGAGGTTGCCTAACCTGTAACTTCCTTTGCATTTGCTCCAGTTTGTATCCATCCTTGCTTATGACTGGAAGGGCATTCACTGGTGTTAGTTACTTGTAACTCAGCTGGACATACCTTTTCTTCCACCATTTTCATTGATTAGTTTAAAGCTTTCTTTGTTTCAGTCACTAAATACATGTTCTACTTTTGAATTTCTTTCTTCTCCCCACAACTCCAGATCCCAGACTCATTCAGCACTTGCTGTAAGATATAATAATGGTCCTCTCTCTCCTTCCCCTCAGTACTCTCTCATCAGTAAGTTTTACTGACCCACCTTACTCTGGGATTATTTTTAAAACTCATCCTGGTTAGTACTGTTCTTATTTTAGAGAATGCAAAAAGTAATTCCACTATTAACCTCTCTTCTGCCCAACGCTTCTTTCAACACAGAAGCATTGCTTCTGCTTACTTATCTTACTCAAGTTAATATTTTCTCTGCTAATCTCCTCCAGACTTCTTATATCACTTTATCAGACACTGTATGATCAGATACCAGCTCATCCTAATGAAGAAAAGGCAGATTTCCTTACAGCTTCAGATTGGTTGGGCACATCCTATTTTTAGTAAGATAGCAAATTATACTGTACTGTATATTGCTTTCTTATCTTTTTCCCCTTACAATCACTTCAGAATCCTGAACCACTTCTGGGTCAGGCCCTGCCGATGCCATTATCAGTTTCCCCCTGCTGACTTAATTATAGGCATTAAATTTGCTTCCCTCTGATCAAAGGGTAGATGAAAGCAATTTGAAGACGAAACACAAACACATTGTGAGCAATATGAGTACTGGCCTCTTGTCATGGCTCCCGTTCTTTGCCTTTGGAAATTGGCTTCTTTCTTCTCTGAAAGTCTGGAGCAGAGAAAGCAGCCTCTCCTTCAACTGTGAAATAATGAAATTATTTCCTTTCTTCCCTGAAGGGATAGGAGGGCTTAGAGAAACGCCCTTCGTAGCTGCAGCACTCCTGCACTACATTAAAACTAAATGTATCTTATGAGGAAGAACACCACTGAATTTCCAGGTATAACAGACATTTTTATGAGAATCATGGGAAAAAAACCCACCTTTCCTCCCAATATTGCTAAAGTCAGATATATTTTTATACTAAAAGCATGTTCTTGTGCTTCTGTTCATTACCAGAATACAGCATGTTACATTCTTTCTGACAATGAAGACCACTTAGGAAACACCAGGCTCTTCCTCTTTCCTTCCCATTCGCACTGGCACTCCCTTGAGGTTCAATACCACACACCAAAACACTGACATGACTTTTTTTAATTACTCTTCTCGAAACGGGGGTTAATAATGCCTAAGATCAAATCTAAAGAATTGGTTTCTTTCATTTCACCTCCAAAAATACCTGTATCAGCACAAGAGAGGGCAGTAGCTGGATAGCACTATTAGGAACTTCTTAAAGGATGCATCTGCCATGGAAGAGGACACATTTATTACAACTTAAGAAACTCAACAAAATCTCCTAAGCTTAGGTACCAAAGCTGGAGACTCCAGGTGCTATTTTAAAACTCCCAACCGTAGCTGTGATCGTCAAAAACCAATTGATTCTCTACAGGGATGAAGCAGCAGCTTTCTGCTGGATGGCAACAAAAGCATCAGCATCACACAAGTCAAAAACATTCTGTAACATAACTTTAAGTTACTTTCAGTTCCAGTTTGTACATTAAAGTGTATTTTCATTATAAACTACCTCTCTAATGTATAAATCTGTATTTTGTTGCCGCTGTAGAGTTTTTAAGCAACTCTTATTAAAACATAAAAGCAAATATTGCATATAATGCAGGTCCAACACAAAAGGAAGCTGTGAATGGCTGCCATCTGCTACCACAGGTGGCATGCACAGCTCTATGTATACTTGTGGCCTTCACTAGAAATGGTAGATGTTCCTCTATTTAGAGATTTTTCTTATGATTTTAGAGTATGCTTCACTTTCAGATAAGAGGAGAAAGAGGAAAGCATTCCCTCCAAAGCAGCATCTTCAAAAGACACATATACTTTCGAACGAAGACGCTGACTATGCTTCTTCCAGTATCTTAGCAATATATACAGCATTTCTTCCCACTCCCAACAAAGAATTGATCACTCATGAAACAGTAGGTTCCAATTTGCATACGTTTAACCCACTGCAAGAAGCAGCAGCATTGTTTACGATTAAAATGATTGGAGTAGGTTCCCGTGACGTATTGTAGAGAGAACTCAACAGCACTGAATAGTCATTTTCATTGAACAAACATAGCATTTTATCAAGCTTTCCCTTTCATCAGAACAACACACGACTATTTACTACCATATAAAAATCAGCTGTTACACTTTACACTATATTGCCCCTCTGAATTTTTAAAAGATGTGCTTCATTAAAAGAAAACGTAAAAATACTTAAAACCAAAACATAATAGAAAAGCTCCTGCAAAAGTCCTGAGACACACAGCATTTACTGTGGATTCAGCAGCACTGACAAGCACTGCTGATGGAAGCATCTTATTAACCACAAAAATAAAGTTTTACATTTAATACACACAAAAAGCCTGATCTTCAAATGTCTTACCTAACAGAGTCCATCTACAGATTCATGAATAGGTGACTACATTCTACAATCCCTTCTGCAAAGAGCAGAAAAATTAGGATTGTTATAATATTAATACATCACTTATCATGTTTTCGATTCCAAACATACAGTCAACCCAAACATACCCACTGCCCATTTCAGAAGAAATCAAGAATTTCAATAACACGTCACAAGATGTACAGAACTGCATGCTTCTGACCAAAAAAAGTACAGTCTCAGTTCTAGAAGGAGATACAGCATCTGGTGTAAGAACACAAACTTGTTTCTATTATAAAAAAAAAAGTAAAAAATGTTTCCAAGGTCTAAACCATATTAACAGAAAAAACAGAAAGGACATTTTCCATGGTTAGTGAATGTAATGAAGGCAAACGTTTTCAGAAATCTGGAATAAACCCCAAATACAATAGATTCTATAAACAGAAACACAATTTCTATGAAATACATTTTAAAATTAAGAGCAATACCTAAACTATTACAGTTGGGAAAGAGCAGTTAGAAAAGTTTTGATGCAGAAATGACTCCTAGGGAGAAGTTTTCCACTACAAACTACTGCTGATTAGACAAGAGTCATGAACTATTTAAAAAGTTCAACATATGAAAGGCCAGGTCCCACACAGCTTCCTTCTAGGTTATATCTTAAGCACAATTAAGCACAATGTCAGCCCACGGAATTCACACAGGCCCCTGCAGGACGTTGCCTAAGAACAGACAAGATTTTGGTTTCAAAATACTGTTACCTGGATTCTACATTTTAGAAACTGGAACCTTCAAAATACAAAATACCAGAGTTTCCTGATACAATAACACGCAACAAAGATTAAACCAATTAGATTAAACCAGAGGCTAAATTCAGAGCTGAAGCTTTGAATTCAATAGTGTGGAAACTTATTTAAGGGGTTTGGGTGGTGACATAGCAGCAGGCCATGAGGTGGTGCTGTCCTACCAGAATTCACTGCAGAGGCGCACTGCCTGCCTCCAAACGTCACCCGGCCAGTTTTCAGCTGATCTGTCTCTTGAGGGGATACATTTGGTTTAGGTTTCCCCAGCAAACGTGAAAGTTTCTCAAACAGGTCACGCAGATCAATTGCTGTCGTAATCTGAAACCCAAAAGAGCAAATAATATCTAAACTGCGGCGTGGGGGTGGCCCGGCGCTGGAAGCGGGTACGGGGAGGCGAGGAGAGGAGACAGCCAGCCTGGCTACCTCTAATCTCAGGAAAATTGTGACTGTTCAGTTCCTGCTTTACATCACCGTATATGTTACGGCAGCAGCAACGGGCAGGGAAACGTCTCAGTCGCATTTTATTAGTAGGAGCCTTGCATTCAGAGCAAACACAACCGAGAATAGGGGTGTTGTGTTAATGAAACGTGTGGTACGTGGGATAGGAACATTCGAAATTGAATTAAACTCCAGGAAAATTAAGACTGGGGCATTTTGCCTCTTCAAGGTAAAGACGGTACAAAATTTTAAATATTTTTTAAAACTAAACATGTAATATTATCAGCATTTTCCTTTTTTAAAATAACATTTTTTTTGGTAAGGCTGGAGTAAAATTTCAAGGAATCACTGCAAAAATGTGCATTAGCCATCGTGGGATATTGGAAGATAAATCCTGTTTGCAGAATACCATATTCAGCAGTCAGTGATCATTAACAAACAGATTAAGAAACCTCTAAACTGCAGTAAGAAGCAAAGCTGATTTCCTAGCACTTCATCTGGAGCAGAAAATGACTCCTTTTGCATAATATGAAACTGGCAAAGAATAGAAAGTAAAAAAGCACTGCTTTGTACAGTACAGAAAACAATAGTTTACTTTAAAGGAACTATTATAGGGTTCTAATTCCTGCTTTCCTTACCATATATTTATAAGCACTGCCTATGGTTCAAAAATTGACTCTCAACTGATTTTTGCTACTGTCATTCACATTTGACATAGCCTCTAAAGCACACTTTAGAGCTGTACTTGGTTATTTTGATAGTTTATTCACTGTTTATTATAACAAAGTGGAAGATTTGGTAGTAAATAACTCACTAGCAGCCTAAAAGCCTCACATTTCATCTTACCATTCTTTCCTCAAAAACAATCCAGAGTTGGTGCAAGATTTGGCAAGTGCATGATGAAAAGATTGTTTTAGGAATTTTGTGACACAACTGCAAAACATTTTTCATTCAAGATTCTTCTGAGTAAAGTGAAATGACCCGAGAGTGTGCAAGCTCCAGTTCCCCACTGACCACAATGAAGACAAAGTACCCAGTACCACCACTGAATGAAGGTTTTACTGGGGTGTTATTTGGAGGTGGGGTTGCTGTACCGTTTAAAAATGTTTATGGTACTTACAGCAAACTCCAACTGTACAGAAAAATTATTTTGAAGCCATTTTTTTTTTAAGACTGAAATTATCCTAAAGTAAAATCCATTAAAACTTAAAACCATCTAAAAAAATCCAGGTGTTATAAACACAGGGGGAAAATAAACCCTTTAGTTTATAAGATGATTACTTACAAACACTAAATTTCACTTCTTAACCAAAAAACTGCAATACATGTAGAAGTCAAAGAGGTCTCTCTGAATTTTGTCACAGTTTTCTTAGGTCTTGTAGGAACACACTGATTTGATACCTGCATGTACAGAAGCACACCTAAATATTCTGAAAATGGTCTGTGGAACGTAAGGTGACCTCCAGAAAAAATTAACAGTAGGCTTTCTACAATGTAACATCATGCTAAATGTTTTTACTAATTTAGTCGTTTATCCTCTGTGGCAACAAATATTTTCAATAAAAAAAAAAAAAAAAGCCAACATCTGATTTTAATAAAACTTTCTCCTTCCCTTTTTCTTGTTTATGGTCCGACTCTAATCATAACTTTCTTTAACATTTATATTTTTACACAATCATCCAAAACCTCATTGACTAAAATGTAAACCCCACAACAATTGTGGGAAATGTTTTGGTTGAGAGATAAAAGTAAATTGGTCAAAATACATATTTGCAATAATTGGCTGTTACCATCGCTGTTCAAAACACTCCATTTACAACCTTTCAGTAACTGCACTCAACTCTGCCTGCGACTTTCTGCAAGAGGTATTTTTCTTGTCCCTTGTTCTCACAGTCTGAACTCATTTAGCGCTATGTTTTCTTGACTCCGAGATGTTTTATGACAAAAAGAGATTTCAAGTCTCATTCAACAGATACACAGCAGTAAAAGGTTACACTGGTGACCATCATTATGAAATTCAGAATCCAAACTTTTACAGAGAGTTTCATGTGCATGTGCTACACTGCAGCTGCTCCAGCAGAAGCCATCCCAGGGCACCAGAGCAGTTAAGCCTGCAGCATCAGCTGTGCCGGCGTGCTCGCTCCTGAAGCCACAGCCAGACCGAAGCCTCTCTTGCACACACCGTAGTCCCACGATCCTCTGCCAGGCCCTTTTCAGTCGGAGTTCTACATTTTTGGTGTATTTATACTAATACACCTATATCCTGATGCAGCACATCAGTATGAACTGACACAACACTTACTCTGTTCCTAAATCCTACCCCTCTGTCAAACACGATACAGGAGGACAAGCACCATTCTGTTTCAGTGTCCAAGTATTTCACTGGATTTTCATTATTGCTACAATAGTGTTCTTGGTGCAAAAATCCTTCCACTAATTTTCAACACCTTCATTCATTATGCAGACGAAACACTACTTTAGTGCTTGCTTTAGTTTTATGCCAAGTAAGCTTCTCCCCCATTAAAAAAACTGGACCAAGAAAACATCCAGTCGGAAGTGAGAAATTGATTCCTTAATGATTCCTTCTCTAATGTAATGAAAATGTATATATCAGGTACAATCTAGTGCACTGATTTATACATAAATCTATATACTGGAAAGAAGCCAATTCTGTAGACATGAAGAGTTTCATTCGTGTGCTTTACAGTATTGGCAGAAAAATTAAGACAAACGGTCTGTTTTTTTCCCCCCTCCTCATGTAACAGGAAACCCCAAGACCTGGATCATCAGCCCTAAATCTCAGGAACTCACTGGGCCCTGGTCACTGTAAGTCCTTATGTGGCTGATGTGGAGCGGCGCACTGATGGGGCTATTTGCATCTTTCGTACATCTAGATGAAGTTCCTCAGTCAGGCACACAGCTCTCCTCCCTGCTGCCCCACTTCAAATGGGCTGCTTGGCTGCATTTCCTGACAGGCTACTGTTCCTCCACTACTGCACCTAGGAAGTAGAACCAAACACAAAAAATCCCTTCTCCACCCTGGGGGAAATAACTCTTCTCCACTACTCCTTGTAACAGCAAAGATTTTGGCTACACTGAAGTGAGGAAAACAACAGTAGCAAAAAAAGCAAAAACCAAAAAGGATAATCCTTTTGCTAAACTCTTGGACCAGACAAAGATCCTAACAGACTCATTATAAATCCATCTGTTAATACTATCCCATTCCCTCCACCCTGCCCCTTTCTAAGAAATAGAAGTGTCTTATAAAACCATAATTAAGGCAAACCATGACAGGTTCCCAACTCCACAGCAAGGGCTAGCATTTTTTCAGAGCACAAGCTGGCCTAAAACCACCACTGACAACAGAGGCACCTTTCTGTGTCCCAACTCTAGAATCTTCTGACATGACCAAAGTCCAGCCACAATGTCTGAGAAAAAAACCCTTCCTTTAAAGTACTTCACTCTTCCACATTTCTATTAAATTAACTACCAAATGACCATGAGCTTCACAAGATAACTTATAATATGGCATGAAAAGTGTCTCTGGACCCCTGCATTTGTTCACTACAAAATGCTACTTATATTGATTTTGATCTACTGAGGTGTATTTGCCAACTCGTTTGGCCTATGAAAAATATGGTCCCCCCAACCATGGGGGAGAATAATTTCTACTTGAAAATATTCCAGTAGATAGTCATGTAGAAATTTCTGCCGAGAAAGTGCTTGCAGGATTTGGGAGCAGGAAGATGTAGCCGTAATTAAAAGTGAAATTGATGCTGTATTTTCACATCTGAGTAATGCTGACAATTCAAAAGCATATTTTTGATGACTGAAAGCAGAAATTCCCAACACAAATGTAAGCTGTGAAGTAAAGGCACTTTTCCTTTCTCACTTTTTCTCAGCCATGAATCTGTAAGATTTTTTAAATGTCCATTTCCTGTAATTTTGGTCATTTTAGAGTATAATTATTTTTACATTTTTATGATGCCTTTGGGGTATCATTACAAATATTTTTTTAAGCATTTAAACTTAGAAAAATAAAATTAAGTAATAGCTTCTCTTAAGGACTGTCAGCCCTGTTCTGAATAAACAATCCCTTTTTTATATCCGCTGTAACCGTAGAAATTAATCTTGAATTTAAACAAAAAAAAAAAAGTAAAATATAATTTATTTCATGAAAATCAGAACACTGCTATTGCAAATGAAAGTTGGGTTTTTGGTTTTTTAATTCAACAGCTTTGTATGCAGTCGTAAGAGTTTACTTGATGGGCTGCTTCTTACTACTTAATCATACTCACTTAACCAATATGAACTCACATTTCTGAGTATTTTAATTTTACTCAAGATAGATGTCAGTCAGTAAGAAGAAAGTTAGGCTTTTCAGATTAGAGAAGCTGAAGTTAAACCTAAGAAATATTTCTAACGATAAGAGCAACCATGAGAAACTGCTATGACACTGTGAGGTGAACAAGAACAGCACAAAAATTTGTATGAGTTTTTCATATAACAAGTTTGGGAATAGCAGAGAAGGAAAAAAGCACAAACTGGGAAACCTTCTTATATGTCAGCACAGCTGAAAAAAAAAAAAAATGACACAATGTTCAGTAAAAAATAAAGTGTTCCCTACAGACTAAGAGTATTTACAAGGCTGCATGAACATTCCAGCACGCAGACCCTCAAACCCGATGATACTGCCTAGAGAACTTCAAGGTTAAAGTAATTCAATATTTACAGTTTAGCTAAGTAAGAGCTAAAAGAGCATCAGCATATGCTGCACTTTCCAAAAGGAAGGAAAAGAACCTTAGGTTCGCATGAGGAAACACTGACATGCTTCACAATATAACATCAAAACAAGTAACCATAGCCTAAAACCTAGGAAA